ATATGTACTGTATGTATGTAGCTACTGTATATGTATATATATTTTGTCATTTTCAAAAATATTGTTGTAACATGACACCATTTCAAGAAATGGTTGTATCATCATGAAAACACAGACAAGGACCCATACCACAGTAGTATCAATGCCAGACCTGTAGAGCACCTTGCGGCGCTGTAACACTGCCACAAACATTCACCAAAAACAGGAAACAAGGTGTGGAGCATGCACATAAAACAGCTGTTTTTGCTCTGCTCTCTTAAGGAAACATTTTTCATTCGTTTTTTCTATTATTGCAGTAATATTGTATACAAGCGTTTTGCAGAAGTTGCAAACTAGAGTTTGTATCATAAATATAAGAATGTATTTCGGCTGTATCAATACATTTTTCATGTTTGAGTTCATAGTTTGGGTCTATGACATCTTGGTTTTTCAGAGGTTATGTTTCGGCCGTCAACTTGAAAACACAAAAATTGTCCTAATCTGGAACCCACTTACACCAATTAATGGCCTTAGTTTGTTAATTGAGTTTATGTCTAAATGTCATTTCCTTATGAATTGTTCTGTTCAGTATGGCTGTGTAATGGTAAAAATGATAAAATCATCACACTTGGAGGATGTCATTTCAATTGTTTAATATTGTGTAAAAATAATACATTAAAAAGACAAGCCACAAAACTATCATTTTTTTCAAAATTCCAACTTTCTGTCATGAAGAAACAATTAAAACAAAGAAAAATATAATTGCTGTCAGTTCATGATTGCATAATTCTTTGAAATATATATATATTTTTTTACTTGACCTTCTATCGTCCATAAATGGAAGAGTTGCTAATCCACCGGCTTGAGACGGTAGTTGCTCAACACACCCACCCAGCAACTCGTTCATCCTGGAGCCTTTATAACAGCTGACTCCACTGCAACCACACGAGACAAAGTCAGCACGAACGGAAGGATGAACTCTTTCAGCACGTTCTTTGTACTCAGCGTGACTGCTGCAGCTTTCTGTGCACCCGTCACTAAAACTGCAGTAGATGATCGAAGTTTTGCCGAGGTAAGTAAGGTTCATGCTCATCTTTTGGCTTATCTTCAGGGATTCTCCAATGACAACAACAATATATATTGTCTTGTCTTGTTTCCCAGGGCTACCTGAAGAAATTCTTCAACCTCACGGATGAGAGAGGCCCATCAACTAGACGAGGAGGAATCAGCCCCATGACGAAGAAGCTCACTGAGATGCAGAGCTTCTTTGGGCTTAACGTCACAGGGACACTGGATGCTGAAACCCTGGAGATGATGAAAAAACCCCGCTGTGGTGTTCCAGATGAAAAAGTAGCTCGTTTTTCTACCTTTGGAGACAAACCCAAATGGAACAAAAGGAGCCTCACCTACAGGTACAGGATCTGAACACACGAGACATACGTGATGTGAGACAGTGGTGCATTTCTCCACTCTTCTGTAATGCAGGATACAGAACTACACACCTGACATGTCTCAGGAAGAGGTGGATAATTCCATTGAGAAAGCTCTGCAGGTGTGGGCCAAAGTCACTCCTCTGAAGTTTACAAAGATGAACAGCGGCACGGCTGACATCATGATCTCTTTTGGTCAGCGGGGTGAGTAAAAAGTACATTTTTGAGAGGTTGATGGTGGAAAAACATACTTTAGTTGCTTCATCAAAGACATTGAATTAAATTATGGTATATCTGGTCTTGCACTGTTGTTATTTTTGAAATGTAGCTGAGATATTCCAGAATAATCTTTATTATCACTGCACCGAAGAACAGTGTTTGTACAGTCGTCGAAAGATGGGCGGAGTGCACGTTGCTGCTGCTCCTAAGAGCGCGGCCCCTTATTCTTTAGATGGAAAAAGGGGAAAGACCATGAGGAGAGGATAGTGGTGTTCCAAAAAAGATCTCTTCACACCTTGTCCTTGTCAGGACATGATTTAAGACATCAAAGACTCTACCTGCAGCACATTTATAAACACATTACATCTGCATTTGATGACAGGACGGTGGGATTTGTCCATGAAGCACTTCCAGATAGTCCTGATAAGATGTTGGTCAGCCGGTACATCTCTGATAAGCGTTCACAGAAGTTCTCGGGGGTTGGGCTACGTGAGAGATAGAACAGAACCTTCTTAGTTACACATATCCCAGGAGAAATTTGATAAGTTGTCCTGCTTCGAGGCCGAATGGGGAGTCACATTCAGATAAGCTACAGTTGTGAATTTTTTTCAGGCTGACATTTGTTTCTCGTCAGCCTTGAGCCCTGCTGGTACTTTCGATCCAAAATGGCCAGATTTGTGGGCACTCCACTGGTCCGTGCTTATTAGCTCCCTCCAAGGTCGTCCCCGACATGCTGGCAAGTCCTAGAAGCCGCAGGTGGCCTACGATTCTCAGAAATTGCTTCTATCTTACAGTTGAGCTCGTCATCAGCTGAGTCTGCTCGAAGCACGAACCACACCTTCAGATAAGGTCGGCAGCTTGGCCACGGCCAAAACTGCTGCTGTCGCCTTCTTTAATAGCCGATAACGTAGGTGTCCGACGGTGCCAAGAAGCAGAAACCCTTCTATCATAAATCTTTGGTGTCCTCCTGAGACGATACAGGAAGTCACGTCAACTTATCCATGATGTACCCTGTCGCGTGCATCTCAGTGGGGCATGAGGGTTCTCCAGGACCCTGTCTCGGTTTTATTTTTTTTTATCAATTGCAATCAATTACTGAAATTCCAGCTGATCAGATCCATGTCAGTAATTAACTGTTTGAAAGATGTGTAAATAGGAGCTCCGATACACAGGACAGAGAGCAAAAGAAAAAAGCAGGAGGGAGAAGGGAAAGGGAAGAAAATGTGTCCGTCTTGCTCGAGAGCGAGTGAGGGAAAAATGTTTTTTTTTTAAATGTGTTCCATAACATTATGTAAATGATTTCATGCATGGGAGATGAAACTGTGTTAGATCCTGATTTACTATGATGATGTTCTACGACGATACACAAACAACACAAATGAGTTTTTAAAATGGCAAATCCAGATTTCAACATGTGACAAGATGCTCTTTCTAACAGCTCATGGGGATTATTACCCTTTCGATGGACCTGCTGGTACTCTTGCACATGCATTTGCACCTTCCCAGGGCATTGGAGGAGATGCTCATTTTGATGACGATGAAAAATTTATATTTCGTTCAGGAAAAGGTGAGTTTGTCATTTATACATTGTTTTACAGAGCGCCTCTGTGTGTGTTTGCTACTGACTCCTGCAACTCGTTCATTGTTCTGTTTTTTTTCTGCTTTAGGCTACGTCCTGTTTCTTGTTGCTGCTCATGAGTTCGGCCACTCTCTGGGCTTGGATCACTCTCAGGATCGAGGTGCTCTCATGTATCCCGTGTACTCGTACAGAAACCCCGACACGTTTGTTCTGTCACAGGACGATGTTAAAGGCATCCAGTCGCTCTATGGTTGACAGATGAGCTCCATGTTTGGGGCATGCTGGAATAAACATGTGAAAAACATACTTGCAAAATAAACTGCACTCCTCCTCAGTTCTTTAATTGTGTGAACGCTGAGTCAGCATTTAAACTTTGGTTTTCCTCTTGATCTCACACTAATTCTGAATACTTTGTGCTATTTTTAGCCACTCACAAATCTAAACAATCAGATCGGGCATGAACAGCGTGCTATGATTTTTGTTTTTATAACGTTTACACTTGTAAAGTTTGTAATTTTATTCAAAATTGAATTCCCCATAGATGTCTCTTCAGAACCTTCAAAAACAGTTTAGATCGGTGCCAGCATACTTGATGTAGTTTTGTCTTCTGATCCTACTTTTAGCTGGTCTATTGTTACTTTTAGCTTCTATTCTGCTACTTTTAGCTTTCAGCTACCATTTTGCTATATTAAGCTTATAGCTACTATTCAACTTTTTCTTGTTTTAGGCTACAGATTTGCTAATTTTAGCTACACTTTAGCTGATTTTAGCATTAGCATTTACTTTTACTACTTTTAACAACTGCTTTGTAGCTTTTACCATGTTCTGCTTATTTTAGCATTTGTCCACTTGTTTAAACTTTAGCGAGTCAGTTTTAGCTCTGGCACATAAAAATACAGAGGCAATGAAAAAAAAAAGGGATTTTTTTTATTATTGATGTGATTTAACCTCCAGGATCAAAACTTAATTAAGATCCTTACACAACTGGAACTCAGCCCCCAAATACATCTGATATTTGTGAGTGCAGGTGCGGTTCCTGGTGCCCTGGGCCAACAACCCCTCCGGCAAACCACATCACCAAACTCCTCCCCACCCCAGGGGGTGTACACGCTCCCCCATGACATGTCATTTAGATTACCATGTACCATCACAGACACTCAAAATGTCTTTGAAATATTTTATTTTTAAAAAGAAAGAAATTGAAGAAACTAGAATAATTCTTGTTTAGCTGTGGTTGAGTGGTTAGAGCGGTCGACCTCCAATGGGAGAGTTGGGGGTTTGATTCCACCAACAGTCACATGCTGAAGTGTCCATGGGCAAGACACTGAACCCCTTGCTGCCTCTGATGTGTGTCTCATCAATGTCTGAACGTGATCTAAAGCACTGATTAGTCTCTACAGATTCAGATGGTCTTTGTAGAGATCTAGTAGAGCGCTGCGTGAACGTGTGTGTGTGGAGGTAAATGATTCACAGATTGTTGTGAAGAGCTTTGAGTGTCTTGATCAGATAGAAAGGTGATATATAAGTACAGTCCATTTACCATCCGTCCATTTCTTTACCCACTTCTTCCTTTTCGGGTCGAGGGGGTCACTGGTGCCCATATCCAGCCATCATTGTGTGAGAGGTGGGGGACACCCTGGACAGGTCCCCAGTCCATCACAGGGACACATAGAGGTTACCAACCATTCACTCTCTCACTCACACCTAGAGAAAATTTAGAGTTACCAATCAGTCTAACATGCATGTTTTTGGTCTGTGGGAGGAAACCGGAGTACCCAGAGAAAACCCACGCATGCACGGAGAGAACATGCCAACTCCACCCAGAAAGGCAACCAGACCAGGATTTGAACCGAGGACCTGCTCGCTGAGAGGCAGCAGCTCTACCGGTTGTGCCACCGTGCTGCCCACAGCTGATTCAATTAATTAACATAGCATAGTTATGTTAGAACATAGTTCTCTGCATTAATGGTGCCTTTCCAGACATGCAAGCTG